ACTAGTAGCTATTGTATGTGACAGAGATTCGAAGTTTACGTCAAAATTCTAGCAGAGTTTGCAACAGGCTTTGGGAACCGAACTGTAATTGTGTAGTATCTACCATCCACAGACAGACGATCAATCCAAAAGAACCAATCAGACTTTGGAAGATATGCTGCGGATGTGTGTGTTAGACTTCCAAGGGAATTGGAAGACTTATCTTCCGTTAGCCGAGTTTGTATACAATAACAGCTACCATTCAAGTATCGGTATGGCTCCTTACGAAGCATTGTATGGTAGAAAATGCCAATCTCCGATCTGTTGGGCTGAAGTAGGTGATAGACCGTTGTTGAGACCAGAACTTGTGCAAGAAACAACTGAGAAGGTGTAATTGATTCAACAACGCTTAAGAACTGCTCAGAGCTGTTAAAAGAGTTATGCAGATATTCAAAGAAGAGACAGGGAGTATGAAGTCGGGGATCACGTATTTATCAAAGTAACTCTAATGAAAGGACAAACACGGTTTGGTGTTAAGGGCAAGTTAGCACCGAGATATGTTGGGCCATATGAGGTTCTGAAGAAAATCAACCCGGTGACGTATTGGGTAACCTTACCACCAATCATGGAGTATATGCATAATGTCTTTCATGTCTCAATGTTACGGGATTACTTACGAGATCCGCACCATGTTATCGAGTCGACACATGTACTTTTAAAAGATGACTACACATACGAAGAAAAGCCAATACAGATTGTGAACCGCCGAATTAAAAAGCCAAGGAACAAGGAAATACCGTTGGAAAAAGTTGATTAGCAAAACCACGAAGAGACCTATGCAACTTAGGAAACAGAGGAAGATATGATGAGAAGATACCCTCAATTGTTTCCTTTGAATCCAGTGTTCATCCAAGATGAAAGTAACTCAAGTTTGGAGAACCAAACTCTTTAAGGGGGGAAGGCTATAACAATCCTGAGCCATGATTAGCGTTAACCCATGCTTGGTTATGCCTAATAAGTAATTAAAGTGAAATGTTGCATCATGTGTTGCCTTATATGTGTTTATATCTGTTTAACGTAGAAAGATCTGTCCATGATTTCGTTCCAATTTACGAATTGAAGGCCTTATCGGCATCCAATTCAAAAATTGACTTGATTTATGTGTCATTTAGAATTTTTAGAACATTATGGTCGGTTTAATTAAAATTCAATTCGGAACGATTAAATTAGATTAATTTAATGCCTACTTAATTAGCATTAATTAATTATCATTAAGTAAGCCTATATAAGGCTTCTTATGTGCCTTCACTCTCTCTTTTTCTTCATTTCAACACATTTGAGCTCACACATACACAAGCAAAACGTGGGGGAGTGAGAGAGAGAGAGAGAGAGAGAGAGAGAGGGGAGAAAATTGAGATCAAAAGTTGGGAAAAGAGAGAATTGCTAGAAATTATTGGAGATTTGCAAAAGAATTTGGAAATTGAAGCTTCCTCACTTGTGCAATTTAAACTCTAGGTAAGAGTTTTAGTCTTTGATCTTGTAATGTAGATGATTAATGTATGAAAACAAGTAAATTAGGTGAATTCATGTAGGAATTGAGCTAGAATTGAAGAAAATTAGGTCGTTCCATACATGCATGCATATTTATAGCATTTTGAAGTTGTTTTTAAAGATTTACCCCATGCATGTTGTAATTCTAGCATGAGTTGAAGAATTCATAACATTTCTCATCAATAGACCTCATTTGATCATGTTTTAGAAGCCATGAACTCAAGTGAACACATGCATGTCATGTTTATATCATGTTCTTACATTTCAAGTTGAATTCTTGCATGTTTGACATACTTTTAGGCCTTGATTTCATGAAATGATCTTCAACTCATAATGTTTTACAAGTTATTAGATATTTTACAAAATTTTGGCCCAAAAAGATAAGTTTTGAAGTGTGGAATTCGAATTTGGAGCTTGGCAGTGCAATCTGGAAATACCAGATTCTGCACTTCCGTTCGAGCGTGAGATTCTGCGCTTCAACGGCCACCTTTGTTTTTGCATTTCCGCTCGAGTGACCAGAAGTTCGCTCGAGCGTGAAATACATGCTCCCAGAAGTTTCATGCTTTTGCAGACCACTCGAGCGGCAAGAGTTACGATCGAGCGGGGACATGAGCCTCACGCTTGAGCGACCATCAAGCGTCCATCGGGCGTGAAAATCACATAACCTGTACTTTTTCAAAATTTGCAGAGCACTCGAGCGTGGGAAGTTGCGCTCAAACGTCCCCTCATACATTGCATGTCCGCTCAAGCGGAGGAAGCTACGCTCGAGCAGGGACCCTGTTTTTAGACAATTTGACCAAGTGTTTTCAAATACATTTTTGCATCCTTTTTCCATCCTAGGCATTCCTAGACCATGATTAAGACTCAATAAGAGGTTAAGACCTAGAAACACAGTAGGAATGAAATAAAAGAAGTTAAGTGCCAACCGAGTGTGTGTTTCATTATGTGTTTCTGCTATGTACGTGTAGGTCACGCGCCTCAAGTTATTTGATTTGCCTGTTCTGCAAGTGGAGCCATTAGTAAGTAATAACTCTGTAAAGTTATATTTAACTTTAATTATTTTATGATGCTATAAAATGATCGGTTTTTTGAAATGCAATGTTTTGTATGAATGAATGATTATCCAAATTTCTGTAAAGTATTCGTGGCATCCTTAGCACAAGGTCGTAGCCCGAGGGTAACAATATCGTGCTTTTATAAGCAAGGCCCTTGCCCAGGGGTAATAATACCGTGGTTTAATAGTCCTTGCCCGGGGGTAACAATACCATAGTTCAAGCAAGTTACAAGTTTCCTGGTACCGGAGGTTCCTAATGGAACTAACAAGCAAGTTAACACTAATGGATGTACCATGTATAACGAAGCATAAACTCTGATTTCTGTATGAAGTTGAACAAGAGAATGAATATAAATCTATTTCTGTTACGAATTCTAGTTTCTGATTATGTAATAAACATCATTCATTAGAATCCTTTATTTTATTATTATTCACTAGGCTCTACCTCACTATTTATATTATATATGTAAGTGAGCAGGCACGTGACCAGGCACAGAGTTAAAGATTGGGCATCTCAATTTTGTCAGCCACCCTTCTGTGCCTCCCGGGGGGGTTCCCTTTCGAAATGCCTAGTTTTGTAACTTTACTACAGTCGTTTTTGCTTGTTTGTTTATCTGTACACTGGGCTAAGTGCCCTTTTGGTTTCATCCTTGTGATTGAATGCCCCATGGTTAATGTATTTATGACGTTATATATATATACAAGTTTGTTTTGAAGTTTTCTGTCTCATACATGTGAACACAGCTCTATGGACATTATATATTCTCTATATTTGCTTCCGCAGCTCTTTACTATATGTTGTTCTGTTAAGAAGCCTTTGGTAATCCACGGATTACTGGCCGGTTACGACATTAAACCTATAGAGACAAGTTTAGGTCGTGACAGTCGCCATCGGGTTGGTTCAAATTGCCTTACCCAAAAGTGATAAAGGTGGTTTTTGTAGTGTTTGGCCTAGTTGCACAACATTTGATTGACACGAAGCGTTTAGAAAGAAAGAAATAGAAGAAGAGAGAGCGAGAAACTAGTCAACGAAGAAAAACTGAGAGCGACCAACGCTGACCACCGACGACTAGCAAAATACTCCCTCTGTTGTTCATCGTCCATCAATCTCTGTCGAGAGAGAGAGAGAGGAATTAGTCGACGAAGAAAAACAGTAACCTAGAGGAACTGAGAGCGATCAGAGCTAACGACCGACCTGGGTGACCACCAACGACCACCAAAATACTCCATGTGTTGTTCGCCATCTGTCAATCTTTGTGTAAGATCTTGTCAATGACATTAAGATCTTGAATGTTACTGTCATTGACAACCGAAATACTCCCTGTAATGTTTAACATTAGGAGTTAAAATGTTGCTGTCATTGACCATCGAATAGTCTGCTGCAACTTGGGATTGTTCTATGTAAGACCCTGAATTTATACATACAACATCAACTCCAACCCCACCCACATTATTGGGAGCTCCAACATTTGGAGTTAAAGCAACCTTGACATCAATTTAAATGTAAAGAATTTTTGGAATTGAAAAAGCAGGTATGTGTATATGTGATTTAAAAAATTCTTAGTCAATCAAGAATGACGAACAATATAAGCAGTCAAAGTTCGGCAATTGGTTTAAATTTGTGGACTTGAATATAGATGTAGTTCCAAATGCCCCATTTTTTTTTTCAGTTTCGTACTAGTCATTTTATGACTTTGGTTTATAAACTTCGGATAGTTTGCTTTCTAAACGTTGGTTTCGTTATCGTTGGATTGAAGAGAATGAAAGCATTTATTGGAGATGCTGTTTTTTTTTTAATAATTGGCATAGATACTGTTTTTCTGTTGTTGGAGATATTTACTTTTACATAAACCGATGTAGAAAGGCAAATTTAAGTTATAACAGAGCCAGTATTATGCATGATGAAGCTCAGAATTCTGGAATTCTGAAATTGGAGCTGCAGATGTATGTTGTTTACTAGTCAAAGACAACAAGGTTTTAATTTCCATCAGTGTAACCTTGGCTATGTGCCTAACCTAACAAAATCAAAACTTCCAAATTAAATTCTAAATTGAGACTAGGGTGGGAGGTTTTTATAGCAATTTCATCTTGTGAACAAAGTGAAGTTGCAGATGTATGAAGCTACAGATGTATGTTGTTTGCTAGTCAATGACAGCAAGGTTTCAACTTCTAGCAGTATAACACTTGATTGTGTGCCTAACCTAAGAAAAGAAAGACTTCCAAATTAAATTATGAATGTTACTTTGCGCACAACAGCTTCTATCCATAACTTACTTTTACCACTTTGTAGAACCTTGCATCCAAAGTTGGCCAAATCAAAGGAACTTTGAATGGGTGATAAGAATAACATTTCAATTTAGTTCATAATACTAGTGCATATAAACAATGTGCTTTAATTTAGTAATCTAACAACATATTTCCAAACAAAATGAGCTAAGAAGATCATATTATATCAACCACATCAACAAAATATTCGTTTCCACCTACAAAGATATGCCCACATTCATTTCATGACAACATAGCCCCACAAGCCATCAAATTACCCCAAAACTAACAAAAACTAACAAGCCAGTAATTTGCATCATCAAGTACAAAATCATACAAAACACAATAACGTAAATCATCGCCTTCAATTTCTTCTCCATCCTTTGAAGCCTTCAACCATGGTCATGAATTTCATTTTCCATCTCAGAAAGTATTGCCCTTAGCTCGTTAAATTCTTCTGTTGTTATAGCATGACGAGCTCCAATATTGGAATAGTATGTGGAGGTAACATCCTCATCATCATCATCATTTGTGAACTTGAAGTAATTGCAGTGTGCCTTATTACTCTACAATTCATGAAAATCAATTAATCAAAGCAAGCTAGGAAGCACGGATACAAATACGGGTACGATACGATACGGATATGGCGATACGAAAAAATTTGAAAAACTAGAATACGGGTACGGCGGGGATACGTTTGTAAAAAATATTATTTTTACAATTTTTAGTAATGTAACATACATAAAAATAAAACTTATTCAATTTTTAGTTCTTTTAAACTAATAATCTAAAATTGTTTTATTTAGCACAAAAAAAATTTAATATTTAGCACAGTAATTAATTTACAAACCATAATGATATTTTTTGCAAAAAAAAAAAAAAATATGTGACAATTTATTTAGCCAAATAGGTTCAACTTTTTTCATAACCAAACACATTTACAACTTATTTTAATTCTTTTAAACTAATAATCTAAAATTTTATAAGTATAAAAAGCTAACATATAAATGATATCAAATGGGGCCAATGTGAAAACATGAAATTTCTTAGTTTTCATTTCAGAATCTGTAAATTTTACTAAAGAAATTGAGAAAAAAATTTCCCCTATAATCTCAAATTTAATATTGATTTCATTTTATAGATCTTAAAGAATAAAGAGTATATTTAAAATAAAAAAAAAAGAAAGAAAAAAGAAAAGAATTGTGTATTATAAAACCAGCAACAACCAACAGGAGATCGAAAGAAAGAGAGAGGAGAGCAAGATGAGACGAAAGAGGAAGAGGGAGAGATTGAGCGAGAGCAAAAGCGAGAGTGAGTGAGATCGAGTCTATCAGTCCAGAGAGATCGAGCGAGAGGGAAAGAGAGAGAGGGACGAACCTGATCGACGACGACGACGCTGCTGTTCGCGAACCTGATCGACGACGCTACTGTCCAGAGAGACGATGCTGCTGTTCCTCCTTCTTTGCTGCTGCTGCTAGGGCTTGGTTGGTTGTTTTTTTTTTGTTTTATGTTACATAACTTTTGTTATTTTACAATTTGACCCCATTATAAGTTTTTTAAATTATTTTTTCGCCCCGCCGTATCCTGAAAGTATCCAAGCGTATCCCTAAAGTATCCTCGCGTATCCCAAATGTATCTGAAATTCAAAAAATTAAAAAAAAAAATAGGATACTTATTTTCCATATCCGATACGTATCCCGTCGTATCGGACGCGTATCCGTATCCGATACGCGTACGGGACCCATTTCAGAGTATCCGTGCTTCATAGAAAGCAAGCAATTCAATTTCCAAATACTAAAGGGTTAATTTGTATAATACATACGGACATAGAATATAGCTTAGTACTTACATATTTTGATGGACACACAAAGAACAAACGTCCTTAATTTCTATTCTCATTGGTTCGTACAATATACATGGCAGTTGTTCTCCCACAATCACACATTCTTGGTTTTAATCTAATGTTGCTATTGTTAGTAGAAGAAAAAGCCATTTTTTTATCTGCATAACCAATACCTAAGCCATTTCAATTTTCTCCGAGTCGTCTTGATTTGAAATAAAAAATAACTTATTTAGTGAAGACTAACTATTTTCTGAAGCTCATTAGATTCGATCATGGATTCCTTTTTTTATTATTATTAATTGGAGGTCTCATATTTTCAATATTACTATTTCTATTTCATCACCAATTTTAATGATACATAGTCCAAGGTTTGTTTTGTATGCACTTAACTAAGTGGTAAGACAACCTAAGATGATAAACATTTTATGTTTTTCAAAAGTTCATAAATATGGTCTCAAGCCTACAAATACGGGTTGTAATAAAATTTGAAGTACTATAAACACTAGCATCCAACTCTTAAATCCAAATAACAATCCTAAATTTATAAGCCCCAAACAAAATTTCCTAGAATGCAGATTCAAGTAAAAAACAAAAAAACAAACCAGGATTCATAGAATGCAGATTCATATCATCCAACTCTAAAATCCAAGTAAGAATCCTAAATTTATAAGGCCCAAACAAAATTTCCTTGAATGTAGATTCATACAATGCAGATTCAAGTAAAAAAAAAAACTAAATTCATAGAATCCTGAATTACACATTCCTAAATTAAATGCAGGTTCATATCATCCAATATAATGCAATTATACAATCCTAAATTGAAGTAAAAAAAAATAACAATCTTGAATTCATAGAATGCAAATTCAATCCTTCAATGCATATTCAAGTAACCAAAAAAAAAAAAAAAATACAAAACAAACCTAAATTCATAGAATCCTGAATTACACAATCCTAAATTCAACGCAAGTTCATATCATCCAATAGAATGCAATTACACAATCCTAAATTCAACTCAAAAAAAAAAAAAAAAAATGCTCATCGCATTCAATAACAAAAAAAAAAAAAAAAAAAAAAAAACGTAAATTCATAGAATGTAGATTCAAATAAACCAAGTCTCAAATGAAAATAACAATCCCAAATTCATAATCCCCAAAGAAAATTTCATAGAATCCAGTTATACAATCCTAACTACAAATAATAATAAAAAGAACAATCCTAAATTCATAGAATGTAAATTCATAGAATCCAAGTCTCAAATCAAACTAACAGTCCTTAATTTATAAGCCCCAAAAAAAATTTCTCACAAATCCTAACAGAATCTTCAAGGCAAGACACAAATTATAACAAAAATTGATGGGAAAATTGTAACCCTAACAGCAATTGAAGGCAAAACGCATACCCAAACAGTCACAATTTATGAATATGTACAGGAATTTATGCCAAAGCAAAACCCTAGTTTTGCAATATCAAGTTTGTATGAGAGGAGTCAACTTCAGTTTGTCCACCCAACACAAAGACGAGTGGGATGAGAGAGAGATAAGCGAAAGGGTTTTGAAGAGTGAATCGGCTCCAGTTTCTTTACCCAACACAGAGACGAGAGAGATGACAGAGGGATCACTGACCTGAGTTTTTCTTTACCCAACACAGAGACGAGAGGGATGAGAGAATGAGCACTGACCAGAGTTTTGAAGAGTTAAATCGCAGCTCTGGTTCTGAGAGCAATGAGTGAGAGAGTTTCAACGAGTTGAATCACAGCTCCAGATGAGAGAGGGGTTTTCAAGAGTTGAGAGAAGAAAGAGACTGATTGTTGGGAATGAGAAAGAGAGATACAGAAGAAGAGAAAAGGCTGATCGTGGTTTGATTGATGAACAGAGAGAGTGTCAACATTTTCGGGCCATTCGGGGAGAAAATTTTGAGCCACAAAGCATTTTTAATGAAGAGTAATGATTCATCCCCCTTTTCCCCCCACCTCCTTTGACCCCCTCTCTCTTATTGGTTATCTTTTCTTTTTCTTTTTCTTTTTTTTCCTGCTCCTCCAATCACCTCCTGTCACATGGCAAAGGGGGTGAGGGGTGACTCCCAAAAGGGTGTCCCAAGCATTATTCTTTAATGAATAAATTAGTCAACAATGATAGAGATCACTAATTTTAAAACTCTAAAAAGATCACTAATGATATGACACTCAATAAAAAAAATACAATATTAAAGTTAAAATATCAAATCATTTATGGTGGAGCCTACTATTACATCATTAGTGAGAATACTAATTAGTGCTCCACTCATTTTCCTAAATTAATAGAGTTAGATCACAATAACACGTTAGGATAATGATTGGTGGTCACAAATTTTGTAACTCAAATGGTCTGAAAATGTCAAAACAATATCGTTCTAAGTACAAAATAACTCTGAAAATGTCAAAACGATATCATTTTAATATTTTCAAACTATTTAAAACACAGAATTTATAGTCACCAAACATTTTCCACCATGTTAATGTAACTCAAATATGAGAGATGTCACCTCACTAATACTGGAGTGTCTCCTCATGATTACTTGGATTAGAATTTAGAATTTTAGTTGAAGTATTGGAGGTTCATAGGGATCTAAGGTGTAATATAGATTGGGCACTCAGGTCAAAATTTTATTTTTTTGGAATTATTGGGCAATAGCCCAAGTTTAAATTTTTTGGGCCAAAAGGACTACTATCTATTTAAAGCTTTCTTATCTAAATGTTAACTACATGTACGTGTGTTACTTATCTGTAAAGACAGAATTAGAATTTCATCATTGAAGGAGTCAAAAGACAAATAAAAATTTTCACTATAAATATGAGTACACATGTATATACAATATGATATATAAACAGGAAGAAAAAATTTTTTTGGTATAAAATAAAAGGAGAATGCAAGATAAGATAAGAATGAGATATGTATTTTTTTATAATGAAGGCCATTTTATATATGAAATGAGATATATTTGAGTACAGAACGATGTCGTTTTGGCCATTTGAGCCACTTTTGAGCCACAAAATTTGAGCTACGTAGACGTCGTTTTGGCCATTTGAATCACTTTTGAGCCACAAAATTTGAGCTACGTAGACGTCGTTTTGGCCATTTGAATCACTTTTGAGCCACAAAATTTGAGCTACGTAGACGTCGTTTTGGCCATTTGAATCACTTTTGAGCCACAAAATTTGAGCTACGTAGACGTCGTTTTGGCCATTTGAATCACTTTTGAGCCACAAAAAAAAAAAAAAAAAAAAAAAAAAAAAAAAAAAAAAAAAAAACTCTATCTAAATTTGAAAAATCCGGCAAAGTTTGGTGAAAATTCAAAACTAATAGTTGATTGTTGTGAAGAATTATTTAAACCAAATGAATGATTGTTTTTATTGGCAAAAATTAAAAAGTCGATTGATATGGCGCATTATTTTAAATTAATGGATGGTTATTTCTCAAATGCATGGATTGCGTGTATCAGGATCCTCTGGAGTAATTGGCCTGAAGTGAACCCTGAAGTGTATTGATCCAATGGCTGAGAATCTAACTAACCAAAACGACGTCGTTTTGGTTAGTAATTTCAAAATAAAAAAATAAAAAATAAAAAAATAAAACCTGATTCAAAGTTCCCAAATCATCTGTGATATGTGAAGCATCAGAGACGAGAGAGAGAGAGAGAGAGGCTGAGAGAAGAGCTTTCGATCCACCCCTGATCACCGCTGCCACGCCGCTGCCGTTGCCACGCTGCTGCCTCGCCATTGTATGCATATGCACAAATTAAGGAGTTATTGACTAGTAATTCATCAATATTGCTAGATTCTTCTATAGATTGAGCATTTTCTAAATGCAAGCCTGAGCAGATATCTAAAGTGCCTCACAAACAACATACATATGGGCCTGGACTCTAAGTAGTTCAAAAACAACATACATATGTTTCAAAATATTACATGTAAAGATATGTGGTTGAGCAAAAAATACTATATTGTTAGGGCCAATCAAAGTCAAATTTTTAACTCCAAGATTCTCTTCCCTTATTCTTTTTCAGACCTCTTCAACCTCCAAAACGGTGGAAAATGCAGGACTTTAGGGAATGAGGTGTTCTGCTTCTTTAAACAATACATATACATATACATAGTGAATTGGAATTGTTCTGATCCACCTCAAGAAGTTGAGATGGAACTGTTCTGATCCACCTCAAAATGCAGAACACATATACATACTGAAAAATGCACAGGACACTTTAAACAATACATATACATAAAAAGGGATGAATGAAATGTTCCCACACCTCAGCGATGGCGGCAACGACTGGACGACGACGGCGGCGACTGGACGGCGGCGATGGTGGCAATGGCTGGACAACACTCCCGTCACTCTTCTCTCTCTGACTTCTTCTCTCTTTTTTACATTCCCGCCACACAGCTTTGCTTACTGGAGGGAAGGATTTGGGAACTTTGAATCAGGTTTTATTTTTTTATTTTTTATTTTTTTATTTTGAAATTACTAACCAAAACGACGTCGTTTTGGTTAGTTAGATTCTCAGCCATTGGATCAATACACTTCAGGGATCACTTCAGGCCAATTACTCCAGAGGATCCTGATACACGCAATCCATGCATTTGAGAAATAACCATCCATTAATTTAAAATAATGCGCCATATCAATCGACTTTTTAATTTTTGCCAATAAAAACAATCATTCATTTGGTTTAAATAATTCTTCACAACAATCAACTATTAGTTTTGAATTTTCACCAAACTTTGCCGGATTTTTCAAATTTAGATAGAGTTTTTTTTTTTTTTTTTTTT